GCCTAGTCCTGAAGAGTAGTGCTCTGCCTTTTGCAGGTTTGAATTTGAAATCCTAAAGGAGGAAACGTGGGTCTGTCCCCATCAACCTTTGTGTTGTGTCCTCGCATACTCCTCATGCACTATGACTAGCCTCAAGACAGCTTGCCTGAAAAAACAAAGACCTAAGCCCAAGGAAAAAGAGATGCGCAGTTGTGCTTCTTTGCTTGGACTCCTACTGCAGGGCATGGCTGATTTAAAAATAAATAAATAAAATCCCTTCTCTTCCCACAGCAGAGAGCAAGCTGCTGTGGAAGTAGAAAAATATGCTGTGTATCAGCTCAGAGGCAGACCACGATCCTCACAGGAAGAGAACAAATGCAAGTTCAGTCACCGCTTGGGGAAAAAGCAATAGCACGGGGACTCTCCAAGAGCAGAGCCATGCGTTTTGCTGCAGCCCAAGGCAGCAGAGAGACCAAGGCACAGCACTCCAGAAATTATTTCTGATCTCCTTTGCGAAGATCATTCCAATCAATACATGGATTATTTCTGGATGCTCGGAGGATGCGTAACCCCCCAACTGCTGAGCTCTGCTTCCCAGCAGCAGCATCCTTTGCGTCGGCACATATGCAACTGCCCAGCAAGAAAGACAGACCAAAGAAAATGTGACAGAGCCCCCTCCAGCCCCCATCTGTATCTGCCCACAAGCTTCGTCAACTGAGTTATGGTAATTACATCACTTGAGATCTATTTAATATCTCCATCTAGGAAAAAGAACCGGGAAGTCTGGCTGTGACAAGCAATCAGAGGGTACTCAGCTGATGAGCAGCTCCCCATCACTGAGAGAGCAGTAGGAACCTTCGATGGATTGGATTTAAGTAATGGTGTGCCAGAGGGATGGGGCCCACACCACGGCAATCAGAGCTCCCCTGCACCATTAAGGAGCTGTAAGTGGAGCAGGAAGCGCAGTGCAGCTATTGACCGAGTAGGTGGGCATGAAAATGGGTTTAGGTAACTGTTTGCTTCCCGAGAGATGGAAAACACAAAGGGATGTTTCTCTGGCAGCTCTCTGATCCTGGCTGTCCACATCAGCATTTGTGTTGTTTGTCTCTCACATAGCCATGCACGATGACTGCTGTGCTGTGTTCAGGCTGTAACGCTGCAGTCCACACAGAGTTTTCCTGCTTGCATTTGCCCTCTCAGTCTCTGCCTTTTTTTTTTTTTTTCTTCTTCTTTTTTAATCTATGGCCTGACAACATCAAAACAAACAAACAAACAAAAAAGATTTCCAATATGATCTGATATCAGACTGCCACACAGGCGGATAAGTATCGCTGCTTGCTCCAGCCACCCTCTTCCTTCCTTCCTTTCTCCACCCCTCTGCACTGAGCAATGGCTTGCACAGAGAGGTGAGGATAACACAAAACCAGCAACTCGTCTTTTTTCCTTGATGGGGCGGCAGCTAAGGGCCAGTGGGCCCACGCTCTGCTCCAGACGATAAGAATTGGGATATCTGCTGTGAGACCGACCTGCAGCCTGACCCCCAAACCCATCCTGACACGGGATCTGGAGCAAACTCACCTCCAGGTCTGTGCTGAGTTACCGGGGTGTCTCTGGTTCTGCCAAGCACCAGGTCTGCACAGAGGCCACCTCGTAACACGGCCTTAAGAGCCCATGGTGTGGATAGTAGCAGATGTGGTGCTGAGGCCTGGCCTGGATGGGTGTCTGATGGGTTCATCCTCTTTCCCAAGCCCTCTGCCCTATGCAGCTTAGAGGATGAAGATACTCTATGGGTTATTAACGCTACTGCTGTTCTTAACAATAATTAAGGGGGAAAGAGAGAGCATCGTGGCGGGATCCTGGCCTAATTTGAAGGAAGGAAGAAAAGCAGAGGAGAGGTCTCATTGAAGGGAAAATCTGTCAATGACACAGAGAGCTAAAGGTCTGCAAAAGCTGGCTGGGCCACGCTTCTCAGTGCTCTGCAATGCCCTGACCCTCGGGTCAGTTGCATGGCCAGAGGGGGACGCTCACCCCAGCAGTCCTCACTGCCTGGTTCCTCTTCAGCAGCTGCAGAGCACAATCATTTCTCATTCCCAGACTTTGCAGAGTTCAGACATCCCAGACTTTTGTTCTTACCGTACCCAAGGAGGGCAGGCTACTCTGTGCCAACACTGGTGTCTCCAGTAAGCTCCTTCCCAGTGTTACCCTCACAACTATTGATGGGCTCAAGAGACACAGGGTCAAAACTCCCAGAGACAGGTTCTTCTGCAAGAGGAGAAGGTGTTGCCCATTTTCTGCTCCACGCTGCTTTATATGGAGCAAAGTTAGGCAGCCTGCATTGCCCCCCTGCTCTTCTGGGATCTCACCAAAGAGGCTGAGGCCAGCTCCTTCTGGCATGAGCTTTCTAAGCAAGGCACCTCCATCTGTATCAAAGGACCTGAATGCATCATCCAAGTGTGAAAACATTGGCCACTGTCCCATTTACTGAAAGGAATAATAGTACCCACTCACCTCTGGGAAGCATAAGGAGCACCTCCGATTTATTATTTGTTTTATTTATTTTGTCACATTTATCAGCCATTCAACTCTCTGGGCACACAGCCCATACATTAAAACCCTGAGTATAATACAAAGATCTCCTCTATCCTGAGCGCATCCTTTCTGAAAAACCAGGCATGGGCAGGAGGGAAGGATGAAAGATGCTTTGCACATGCAAAGGATGACAACAATATATTTGTCTCCAATTCTGTTTATTGATGGAACCACTCTGAAAACGTTAGCGACATCAGGACAATGGGATGAGGGTAATAACAAGAGGGAGGGGGGTTGGATGGAAAGCCATGCTGGAGGTTGGGCACTGAGACAGCCTCTAGCCAGCCTGTCTCATGCTCAGGAAGTTCCTAAAATGCTCTTTCCATTATTATTCCTCTAATGACCCCATTAGACACATGTGAAATTCTGAGAAGCCTTAAATATGTTGTAGAGATCCACACTGGCGAATCTGCCCAGCTTTTCTGAGAAACAGCAAGCTGCAATGATGAATGTTTTAACATTGCAGCATCCCAATGTGTAATTTATTTGCTGGAAATTAATTGCATGTGCTGGTTTCATTTTCCAGTAGCGAATAATCAGTTTTGCTCCCTTTTTAATTAGGTAGCAACATAGATTCCTCTGCTGATCATGGCACAAGGTTTTTTGCATGTCTCATCTTATACTAAAGGAGATTTCAAATCATTGTCTAGGGCCCAACACAACTTTTGAGTGGGATCAGATTCTCCGTCAGCTGCACCTCCTGGGTCACCACCGGTGCAGACCCCTTTACATGCCCCAGCTTGAGAATCCAGCCTGGGTTTTGGTGGCCCTTCCACCCTGCCAACTAGGAGTTTGAAGAAACTCTGTGGAGAAGCCAAGTGAAGGAGCCTGCAATCCCAATGGTGCCGACATGATTTCACCAAAAAGCGTGTCCCATCTGGAGGCGGTCCGCTGGCCCACCAGCTGTGACACCGCACCGATGCTCGCAGGACCTCGTAGTCTAGAAGCCTTCGGATCGTCTGTGTCATTAATAGGGTTGGTCCACACCACACCCAGCACCTCTGTGAGCTCTTCCAGTGGGAGCAGCAGGACAGTGCCATCGGCAGCCTCGTGTTTGTTGGGCAGCCGGATGGGGCTGTGTGGACACACGGAGCACGTGAAGGCTGAGAAAGCCACCTCTGCTGATGTGTGCAGGGGAAAGCTTGATGGACTCCAGCCGCTGCTACTTAAAATGTTCGAATGGGATGGGTAGAGTAAAAACTCTCAGCTCCGCCTGCCCTTGGTCGCTTTCAGCAAACGTCGAATTAAGCGGCAGCGGTCGGATGGATTTAGCTTCCATCGGGGTACAAGGCACCCATGCTTCTGAAATACACTCTCCTGAAGCCAAACAAACCTTCCGGCGAACAAACGCTGCCGGGGTGAAACGAGAACAACCGCTTCCCATCGCTGCCAACCCGCGAAATCCTCCGCCACTAATTAATCTGCAAGGGAAAAGTTAGTTAGCGGGGATTCCTGCTGCCTGCTGGGGGCCTGCCAGGCGGGCCCCTATCCCCGGGGCACCCCCAAAAAACGCTGGATTTCCTCATTCCCGGGGGCGAGCAGCCCGTGTGCTGGTGGTGGTGGTGGTGGCGGCGGCGGGAGCGCGCAGCGCGGGGGCGCGCCGAGGCGCCGTGCCCGCGCCCGCCGGAGCTGTCCGCGGCTCGTGGTGCTGAAGCCGCAGCGGCCGCCCAGCCCCTGCCTCCGCCCCCCGCCTTCCTCCCCGGCGGGGGCTCCTGCAGCCAGCCCGGGGCATCAAAGGCTGGGGAGGGTCCTCCCTTTGATTCTTCCTCTTCCCCCCCCCTCCCCCCTTCCTCATCTTCACCCCGCCTTTTCTCTTTTTTTTATTTTTTTTTTTAATTTATTTTTTTTCTAAAAGCCGGGGGAGGGAGGAGAGCGCGGCCACGTTCCACCCCTCCCTTCCTGCGAATCCCCGCTTGCACTGCAAACAATCTGCCTTCCCCATTGCATCCAAGGGAGATAGCAACAGCAACATCATCACCGCAAGCCGGATGGGAGAGCAGAGAGGAGGCTGCTGAGGGAGAAAGGCACACACGCACACGCCAGCTCGGTGTTGCCAAAGCGGTAGGAGCCGCACGAAAAATAAGCCATGCTGCCCCGTGTGTCTGGCGCATTGTGCTCCACCGGAGCCTTTTAGGAGGAAGAAGAGAATTATCTGCTCCGATTTTTTATTTTTTTTTTTTTTTTTTTCCTGCCAGCGAGAGTGCGACAGACTTGCGATGGTTGAATGTCAATGCCTGTGAGAGAGAACAACAGTCAGAGGAGGAGGAGGACAGAAGGGGAGGAAAATGAAGGTGGGGACGGTGGTGGAGAGAAAGAAGGAGCCTCGTCCAATGCATCAAAAGGAGGTCCCTGCAATCGCCGATAGAGCCCTGGCCGCCTTGCCATCCACAATGGTCTGTACAAGCTGCCAATGCGTTTGATGACGTTCCTGTTTTGTGAAAGGAGGAAAGGAAACGTGACCATGTAAGATCCACGTTTCTCCGGTCAATTACATGCGAAGAATAGATCCGATTTCGACGGGTTTTTTGGTCCAGGATGGTAACAGCTTAGGGAATAATACAGCTGCCTTCCCTCGCCGATTTTGCTCTGATTATTTTTGGTGTGGTCCAGACAGCTGCTGGAAGAGAGAAGGTCAGAATATATAAATAAATATAAAAATATATATGATATATATAATATATATTATATATATATAATATATTTATCTCAGTACCTCTGGGATTAAGCTCATTGAATGCTAATTATTTCTTTCAGGACTTTTAATATTTACAATGAAATCTTTTAAATGCAACGCTAAAATCTGAAGCCACCTGGGAGTACAGTGTTGGAAACGTAGGGTGTTTTCCCACAAACAATGTGAAGGTCTTTTTGTCAAAGAGGCAATTTTGATAATAACGACAGCTACCAGTTTTGCATTTTGCTAGCCAGACTGGCTGCTATTTTGTCTGGGTGCACACCGGGTCTCGCGTGATTGAGTTCGATTTTTTTTTTTTATTCGAAAAAAAAAAAAAAAAAGAAGAAGAAAAAAAGGAAAATTACTTGAGATGCCAAATACTGTCGACGGAACCACGGCCTCCCTCTTCCCCAAACCCACCGGAGACGCGGACCCTTCTTTTTTCCAGGCTTAGGAGTTGCCGGAGCAGAGCCGGGGCTGTCTCCCGGGAGCGCCGCACCCCGCGGTGCCCGCCGCCGCCCCTCGCCCCCGGACCCTTGGGCGTGGGAGCTGCCTGGGCGCCCCCCGCCGCTGCCAAACAAACTTGAGGAATCCACCCCGCCGGAGGGGGAAGGGCGATAAAAAAATCCCTCGGGAGCGTGGAGCCGGTCGCTTTATTTATTTAATTCTTTTTTTTTTTTTTTTTTTTTTTAATTATTCCTACCGCTGTTGCTAGCCTCGCACGGTTGCTGCCGGGGATTTTCCCCCCCCTCCCCGCCCTCCGGCCCCTCTTTTGTCGTCTCCCAACCTGCGAGCGCATCCCTTCCCCGCAGCGCTGAGACCCCAGCAGAGCCCCCCGACCTCGGGGCTCCCGGCTCCTGCCCTTTCTTTCCCCCCCCGTCTCCTCCAGCCCAGGCAAGGCACATGTTAATACCACCCGGCGCTCTCCTTTTCTGCTACTGCTGCTGCGGGCTCCTCCGTCCGAGACAGATGTTGCGAAACCAAGGCCTCCTCAAGTGCCGCTGCCGCATGCTCTTCAATGACCTGAAGGTCTTCTTGCTGCGGAGACCCCCCGCCCCTCCGCCGCCCTCGCCGCCGCCGCCGCTCCCCATGCCCGGCGGCGCAGAGGCGGGGGCCGGCGGCACCGCTCCGCCCGGGGGGCGCGGGGCCGGCTGGCGGGGGGCAGCGGGCAGCCCGGGAGCCGAGGAGTGGGGGAGCCCCGCCGGGGAGCCCCCGGCCTCCCTGCCCAGCAGTACCTCTTCGGATGACTTCGGCAAGGGCAAGGCCGAGGACCGCTACTCGCTGGGCAGCAGCGTCGACAGCGGCATCCGCACCCCGCTCTGTAGGATCTGCTTCCAGGGGCCCGAGCAGGTGAGGCTGCGGAGGGCGGTGGGTTGGGGTTGGGGTTGGGGTTGGGGCGCCGGATGGGTTCTTCAAGGGAATATGGGGTGGGGGAAGGCTACATGTCCCCCGCGCTGCAGCTCGTCTCCAGTCTTAGGGCCGTGGTGGGGACTCGCGGACTCGGTGTTGGGGGCTCTTTGTCCCCAAGTGGGGTCCTGGATGTGCTGCTCCCAGGAATGATGCCGAGGTTGTGTTTAACGTGCTGTTTGCTCTGAAAAATGCGACGGGTCTGTGTAAACACGTGGCGGGAGGCAAACCCACCTCGGCAGCAGCGCCTGGGAATGGCCAGCAAGAGCTCTGCAGGTTGGCCAACGCGGCCATGCTCCCGGCTGCACTACCTGGGGGAGGAAACTGCTGGCTGCAAGTGTGCCTGCTGGAGCTGCAGCCTGGAAATGCCCCTTGCTACAGCCCGAGGTTGGGCCGGGGAAGTTTTCTTCCACCAAACAGGAGAATGACACAAATGCAACCTCACCAGTAACATTAGGTGCCAACCCGGGGCGTTATTCTCCCCATTTAATGACAGCTGCAAGAGGCTCATGTATTTTCAGGCTGGCAGTAACACAGCAACATTTGTGCTCAACGTGTCACAACTGTAGGCAGCAGGGAAGGCTGCAGACCTCTGCTTGTAGGATCAAGCCCGGATAATATGCAGATAAACCTCATTGCCCAGAGTAGCTCTGTTACCTCTGGTGATAAGCGATCCTTGCACGAGCATGGGCTGTGAGGTTGGACTTGGCTGACACCCAGTCCCGTTTTAGGCGCGGATCCTGGCACAGAAGGTAATATCTTGAGACCTTGAGCAAAGCAGGCTTTGCTCCAAGTCTTCTTTCCCCTTGGTGGACCTGTGTGCTCTGCTAAGGAAAGCCAGCACACACCTGATGGTGGCCACACTTGGGCACACATCCTGCCAGCCCGGAGGGCAATGCCCACGTCTGCTGGACAGTCATCGTGTTTTCCATGGTGCCAGCCCTAGGATGGGAGGGAGATTAGGTAAAGTGGGGAATGGGCTCACATTCATCTTTGGAAGAAGCAGGGCCAGCCACCGACTCATCCTAACACCCCTAGGTCTTGCAGATCAGAGCTCAGTGGACTGTAGCCTCCTCTAAGAGCTTCTGCAGCTGACCGATAGCTGCGAGAGATGGTTTTCACCATAGGCTTTTAGATGTGGGCAGGGGAAATCATTCTTTTGCAGAGATGCTCTATGCCTTCCTCACTTGACTGCCTCCTCCCTGTCTCTTCTGAAAGTTGGAAGCCGTGCAACTCCCTGACTGGGAATTTGCATTATTCCACGTTTCTAGTACTCGTCCCTGGCTTACCATTCTGCTGTGTACACGAGACGTAGCGCCCGCAAGATTGGCTTGCGTGTGTGAACAAATAGAGCCGAAGCAGAATTAAAATAGAGGCAACTCGCATCCTTGGCGAACATCGATGCTTGAAAATAATTGGATGCTAATTTTCACACTTAAAACCTGTGTAGGTTGCATTGTAAAAGTGGGACTATTTGCTGACCATCTGCCAGCCTACCTGAGTGAGAAGCTGAGCAGACGTGACTGGCATCTAATAGAGTTTCAGCAGGATTTCTCTTCTTTGCTTCTCACAGTTCCTGCCTGATATAATAAGACACTTACAGCTGGATTCTGCCAGTCGTCCTTGAGTAGTACCTCATTCTGCAAATAATTTCTTCTTCACCAGCACGTCGAGGAGCGCCTGAAACCCTTTGCCCTGCAGCAGCTGGGAAGTGCCAGTCATAATGTAGGCCCAAGGTGTGGGGCTTTAAAACGTGGTCAGATCCTGACACAGCCCCCTAGAAGTACAGTTCAGAACAACCGAGAGCTGAACCAGTGCTACTCGAGACCTGCAGTTTGGTTTATTTGTCCCTTACATCCGACAGGGCTAACTCCTGAATTCCATGTTCTTTCTGGTTATGGTAGTTACTGCTGGTTGAGCCTTCATTTCCCATTTGTTTTCCAGCTGAACAGCTGAGCACAGACCTTCATGTTTCAGACCCTTGCAGCCATAGATGTCACAAATGCACATAATTCCATACCACCCTTGCCAAGATTGTCATGAAAATATATCCACTTGGAAACAAAATGTAATTGCTAGTTCTTTACTGTGCAGATTAATAACAATGACAGAAATAAGCAGTGTTTTATTTACCTGTCAAAAACATCTGAAACTGCTGCAGCTGTGGGCAAATTTGCAGGGCTGCATCACAGTACCAAGAACAAAAGCCTTCATTATAAATTGACTGTTAGGCGCTCTAAGCTTATTTACCCAGATAAAATGACAGTGAGTCTCCAAAAGATGTTTTAATCCTTTTTTTTTTTTTTTTTTTTTTTTTTAATACAACAGCCAGAAAGGTTTCTTACTAATCTGGCTTCACAAGTGGATTTTATTTAATATCTAATGCAAACCAAAATCTGTAGGGATTTTCACTTTAAATTTATGATTGCCCAACATGCATAATACTTCAGGCTACTGAATTGCTTATATCTTAAGCTCCTCGTGTTTGTTTGCGGCTGCTATGGGTAAACTGATTCTTTCATTTAGAAATGTGCTGAGGGCTGTAGGAAGGAGTAAATCTCATTATTGTAAAACTGCTCCCATCCTTTCATGTTACTCGGGAGAAATCAGTAATGCAGATGAGAAAGAGTGGATCTGATGACCAGGTGAATGCAATGTCTGGGCTCCCATTTTGACGGTACAAAGAGACCTCTGCTTAGGTCTGGCAGTTGAAAGAGGCCAATTGCTTTTATTGAAGACTAGGGCATGAAAACTGGTGGGGTGGACTCTGCACTTGGGAATGGCATTGCCTGTCAGGGACTTGCTTGGCATTTTCAAATGTTTCACTCAGTAAATGTCCTGCACCCTTGTGTCAGCTAATTCTGAGGCTGTGGATGGAAAGGCGAAGCTTGGGGGAGAAAGTGAGAAAGCAAGATGCTGGAATATTTTCTTCTGTTTTGGTTAATGCTCTGTGTTTGCAGAATTGTGTCTGCTTTCCTGGATCTTTGACAATGTTCTGCAAGAGAAGGAAACTAAGATGAGCTCTGCTCTCACAGATGTTTCCTAGTGCTTGGTATAGATCCAAGCTGAAAGCAAACCATGGCGAGTAGCAGGAAAAGACATGGGTGAAAAGTCCCTTCACATCAGCAGATAAAGTGTTTGCCCATGTCACAAGAAGTTAGCAGTACGGCAGGGTTTAGGATCTCCGAGTTGGTGCTGGCTGTGCCAAAAAAAAATAGAAAAGCTTTCTTAGATGAAACTGAGATCATTTGGAAATCAGCGTCTCAAGGATTGCTTGTCAGTCAGAGTGTGCATGCATCCTTTCTTACCTGTCGGTTTCTGTCTGTGTTTCTCTACTTCTCTGTTCAGAGGAAAAATACTGTAAAGATGGGGATTTGAGAAGTCAGTGTGGATAGGATTGGTTGGCTGAGGAGGATCAGGGAGAACAGACTGTGACTCTTTTGCCAGCAGGCTGCTAGCTTGGACGTAGCTCAGTACTCAAAAGAAATGTTTGAAAATAGACTATTCTTCTTCCCAAAGTCCCCTCCAGACTTTAGGGAAATCAGCTCATTAATATGTGAACACGAAGACCTACAAGGAAACTGGAAGGGAAGACAACTTACATGGATAGTAGGACGTGCATTTCTATGTGATATGTCATTAGGCAGTGGAGCTCCTTGCTGCAGGACATTAGCAGGACAAAGTGCTTAACTAAGTTTAATAACGGTTGTAAAGCCATGTGGATACCAAAGGATCTGGAGTCATCAGAATTAATGATAACACATCTGAAAGTAAAATTCGTGCTTTAGGTCTGAATCTCAAGATCAGGATAATACTGAAGAGGAGCAGAGCCCCAGGGCTGGTCTCTAGCCCCAGGGCTCCCCAGCCCCTTGTGCACAGCTGGTGAGATCTGCCCCTCCAGGTGCATGTCTGGGTTTCGTGCCTGTGCACGTTCATGTGGGTCCCTGCCACACTCAGGATGTCTCTGGAGCTAAGATGGCCACATATGTGAAGAGAGTCCCTTCCCCTGCACCAGGACTGCACCAGGATACACGCAAAGCAGCTCTGCCCCCACCTGGCAATTCCTTCCTTGTTCCTGCTCCTCATTCCTCAGTCTGGATGAAAATCCTATTCTTGGTGGTCCCAAGTAGACGCAATGCCTGCTTAGTAGTGCTGAGTCAGGATGTGCCACGGGTAATAACAAGTGACAACCTCAACCCCGTTCCTGTTGCAAATACAGGGACACGAAAAACCCATCATTAGCTTGCTACCTGGTAGTGTCTGAAGTCATGAACTAAGCCAGGAAATATTGCCACTCTACAGACTGGGTATCTCAGTGGTACAGAGGAGTGCAGTAAATCACTGGGATGCTTGATTTCTGATTTACAACATTGTAAGACAGGGCAGAATTAGGTACCTCCTTCCTAGAGTGAGATAAAGAGGAAAAGAGGCAACCTGTGGCAGAATTTAGGGCACGAGCCTAGTAGTGAATGAGAGGAAGAAGAAACAACTGCACAAGTAGCATTACAAGCAAGTGGAAAGCCGGGCAAGCTGAGGAAAGGAGATGCAGGTGTTTGGTGGGATCTGTCTAAACTGGCTAGAACATCAGCACACTGTTTTCGAACATGTTGAATCACATAATGACAGTGCAGGCGTCCCATCCGAGTCCTTTTCATAGGTGTGTTCCCACATGATTCATTTACATGGTGTTAGAAGGAGAATTATTCATTGGAAAACAGCCAGTCCTGCTAAAAATGAAGTCTACGAGATCCTGGGATGCAGCCCTTTAGATTTCAATCTGTATATTGAAATACATGGCAGAAAGGGAAAGAGAAAGCTTCCTGTGACATTCAATCCACCTCTCTGCTTTCCTGTCTTTGACTTTCAACACCTCTCTGGCTAGTGTCCCCGGATCAAATCTCTACTGTGCAGGCAGAACTTTTTTGGCTTCAGCAAAAGCTTTG